GCGAACTGTTGCGAAAGAGTGGAAGCAACACACACTTATTGGTATTCTGCCTACCCCCACCACTTTTTCCCTTGTGCGCGCGCAGTGTTCTCAACTTTGTATTTCTATATCTGAAGTTTATTTCATTTCTTTTTGCGATAATTTTCGAAAAATTTATCAATGAATAATGAAATAATACAAAGTATAAAAAATAACAACATTATTTTCGAGTTTATTGTATTATAACAGGAATTTTGTTATTGTTGCCAAAAAAAAAAAAACTTTTTGAGAAAAAATAGTGATATCATTTCCTGTCATACATGTATATATGCATTGGAACATTATTCTCGTTAAGTCTTTCAAAACTTTACTTTTTTTTGGACATTAGCCAACTACTTTCAAAAGAACCAAAAATGTCATTAGTTTAAGAAGAATGTCTTAGCGATGAAATCACTGACAGTTTAAATAAACGACTTTATACAGATTAAACAAAAAAAAAAAACTCCTGCTCTCTACTGATAATGTCTCAAAGTTTGGATGTGTTTCAATTTAAGAATATTTGCTCCTCGACGGGGAGAAATAAATCCAAATAGTACACATGGCGCCATCTAAACTCTTCATCGTGAAACTAGTTCAAGTGGAAAACAAATCAGAGGATAAGAAATTTATTAAATTGTTTAAAATAAAAATTTCTTTAATTTGATTCGTTCTATTTAATTTCTATAATTGAAAATCCTTTGTGTGTTTGTCAGAATTTTTTTCTTCTTTGTTTTTTCATTACATTTGAAGTACAACAGTATATGGTTTCTGAAATACTGAAGCCCTTCGGACAGACAAAATTATTCAAAGTGTACTGCTATTACAAAATACTCTTTATAATAAAGTTGTAATAATGCAAAGTAATGCCTGAATTACTTCGTTTTCATTTATGAATATAATCTAAACGAAATTGGATGAAACGAACTTTTAATAATTTTCTTTTTTTTTTAGACAAAAATCATAAACTCTGTGTGTTAATTCGCGTGTAAATTCGTATATAACATCAAGACATGCAGCTGACTTGGACATCAACTGCCCTCAGGGCATTTCCTTCGTGTCAGACGTACTCTCTGGTATTAAGTTTTGAAATCATTATGCAATTAATAATGCTCCAGCAAATTCTCTAAAATGGAGAGCTTGTCAGTGTAAAGCTATTTCCTTTTCCAAAAGTCACTTCTCACAAGGTACACTGGAACTAATTAGTTTATATATATATATATATATATATATATATATACTCGACTCCAATCACGATTGTTGTTCAACGAAAAGTACAATAAAATAAATAGAGAATAAAATCCAATAAATAACGAAAGAGGATATTAATAAATATATTCTAAATGATTGAGATACAAAAATTCATTAAAATTGATTCAGAAAAACGAAAAAGGTAAAGTAAGGTGCTGCCATTTGTCGAGACACGCGCAATGCTCGACAGATGGCAGCACCTTACTTTACCTTTTTAAAAATCAACTGTTTTTTTCTTTACTAGAAAAAAATTAATTTTTTACCTTATTGTAAATAAAAAATCCTATTGTAAGAAAGTGGAAAAATTAAAAGAATCCGAATCATCATTGTTTGTGTGTTTTTTGTATATATATATGTAGTGATTTATGATCGATGTTGACTTTCACATATACAATATATATATATATAGATACGAATCCCCAGCTTCCAGCAGTGTGATTTATTGGCAAACGATCGAACGAAAAGAAGGCTCGTTAGTAGTAATATGGATGTCGCCGCAATTCGTTTCGTTGCCTAATTATAAAATCGCCCATGGTCCCGTGTCGGCGTCTTTTCGCTTATATGGACCCCCGTGCAGAATTTTATAAATTATTCAACTATATTGCACACACGGTATATTATATATATATTATGTTGGAAACATAAAAAAGTTTCTGATCCCCCTTCTCATCCCTCTCTTGACAACATTTCTTCGCCAACACTATTATTATTAATGCTAATCAACCTGTTTTATATATCTACTGATGGTAATAGAAAAAAAAGATTTTTTTTCAATGATTTAGCGTTATATTCACACTTTACTTCATTATCATGGATGTTATGGTGACTAACTTTGTTATTTAAAGTAGTATTATAAATTATTACACACATTTATTTAGATATATATATATATATGATGACATTAAGGGACGAAATGGAAAAAAAAGAAAAAGAAATGAAAGAGAAAATTTATAACACGAAAATTTCAATTTCAACGAACCACTAATATAGCTAATAAATAAATGTTTATTTCTGCAATAATAAATAGGATCTTTTACATGACAAGAGAGTTTGCCTCTAGGCTTGCGAACATTGCAAGTGCGCGCGGTTGGTCGGTTAGAGTGGAGATAGCGATCGTATAATTTATGCACCATGTCAGCGCGTTTGTAGCTTCCAATTTAAAAGCACAGCCACTTACAATAATATACGTTTTCCGTTTCTATATAGGTACAAATATCTCACTAAATTTATTTATATATATATTAAAATTTCAGAAAATATTTCAATTTATTTTTTTATCAAATTTAGTTTAAACTTTTCCAAAAATGTCATGGTTATAGTGAAAGTTTAATATTATTAAATTTAATAAAATATTTTTTAATTTACAGAAATTGGAAATTTTTTTAAAAAAATTTTGAAAAAAAAGAAATTTTTGTAACTCAAAAAATATTTTATATTTAATAATATTTGGTATTTGGACTTTCACTATAAGCATGACAATATTTTGGTAAAGTTTAAACTAAATTCGATAACTTAAAATTTTTGATTTGGACATTTCAGAAATTTTACTCCATATTTATATTTGGAACGTTCCACGTCAAGCGGATCATTACTCTCTATATATTCATAATTGTATAGGGTCGATTGTTACGTTTAAGGTCTTAAAATGTTCACCTTAAAGTACTTTTTCATTTAAAACACGGCCTTTAAAAAAATTCAAAATAGCGTCCAAAATATGACGTACATTATATATGGCTGAAAAATTAAAAATTTATATAATTAAAACGTTATAAAAGTAACAAAAAATGTTCAAATTATCTCTAAATTAAGCAATAGTAATGCTAAAGTATTACAAAATGAAAATATATTGACAGTTTTCAAAAATTCAAAATGGCGGATAAAATATGGTGGAAAAAATTAAAAAATTCATTGAATTCGCTTGAAACTTATTACTCGGGGGTTTTTGGGCTCGCTGAATACGAATATGACATTATTTTTTATAAAATTCAAAATGGCAAAGCCAATATAGATGACAATTTTTGAAAATACAATGATATTTTAAAATATTGTCATTTATATTGGATCTGCCATTTCGAATTTTGAAAAATTGACTTTGGATTCGTATTCAGCGAGTCGAAAACCCCCCGAGTAATAATTTGCAAGCGAATTTAATTAAATTTAAAAAATGTTTACGTCATATTGAATGCGCCATTTTGAATTTTGAATAACTGATCTCGAATTCGTATTCAGCGAGCCTGAAAACTCCCAAGTAACAAGTTTTAAGCGAATTCAAAGTATTTTTCTATTTTTCCGCCATATTTAATCCGCCATTTTGAATTTTTGAAAACTGTCCATATATTTTCATTTTATAATACTACTAACATTACTACTGCTTAATTTTGATTTCATTTGAACATTTTTTACTACTTTTATAACGTTTTAATTATAAATTTTCAATTTTTTAGTGACTTATATTATATCAAATAGATTTTATATCAAATAGTTCAAAAGTTATAAAATTGTTAAATAAACAAGGAAATTAAATTGTTATTTGAAATACTATCCAGTGATAAAAAATTGCCATTGTGCCAATAACGTTCCTAAATTTTTTTTAAAACTTGTCTCTTAAAATAAAATTCTAAGTTTCATATTCTGAAAAAGTTTTGAAAACATGTGAAATTTTATTGTATAAACGAGAAAAAAATTTTATTTTCTATAAAAAAGGAAATGTTATTATCGGTGTACTACACTTGCAGATTGTAACCGCAGAAGGTAATATATTGATTTGGTATTACCATCTGATGTTTTATTAATCAACTAATTAATTTTTCTCTTTGATTTAATATAATTTTCTACATTTGTGAAATCTACTTTATCTTTATAGGATAAATAGTAACACTTTTGAACTACAAGGTAAAGGGAGGTTCAAACTAGAAATCTGTTTTATCAACGGTGGAAAATATATATTTGAAAGCAGATTTCAACATTTTCACAATAGATGTCGCGTATTAGAAAAAAAAAATTTGCAAAAAACTCCTTTTCAATTCAGGGCTTTTTAATATTTAAATTTTTAAGCTATTAAAAAAAAAGGATGTTACATAATTAATTACTGCTATTCACAATAGATTTATTTAATGATTAAAAAAATTCAAAACATAAAATTAAAAAAAAATAAAAACTATATGATCTATATCAGTAAAAATAATAAAATTATTAAATATTTTATTTAAAAATTATTGTTGTATTAAAAATTATTTTAATAACAACTGACTTGAAATTAAATTACTATAAATTAAAAAAAAAAATTTCATTAATATTATTTTAAAACAGTCAATAACAATCTTATTTTAAGAAAAGGATTGTAATCTTTCTTCTAATTAATTATATTGGGATTAAAACGTCATTTATAATAAAAAATTTTAATTAATTTTTTAAGTAAAAACATATCACTACATTAATGTAATTTTAAAAGTTTTTTGAACTCAAATGCATATACTATATATATATATATATATATCCCTGTGAAATTAAAAAAGAAAGAACATTTCTCTATCTGTGTATCTTTGGATTTATCTTTATCTCTTGTTTTCAAAAATTACGTAAACAATTATGTGATTTTCGTTAATAGCAAATTTTTTTTTATTATCTTATATACATGAACACAATTTGTTCACAGATATAAAGAAGAAAAAAAAATTTAAACGTGTGCAAATTGAAAAACGATATCAATTCAAGTACTTTGGATTGATAAAAATAATATTTAAACAGTAGTAGGTTTTTTGATATCAGTTGTGGTCATGACAAAAGCTAAAGAAATTTCATCAGAAACAGGATTAAATTCAAAAAAAGTAGAAAATGAGTTAAACATGAAGCCAAAGGCGAAAGAAGGATCTTTCTTTGATCCAATGTCGATTACTTGGATGGAGAAATACAATTACAAAGTTGAGAAGATTTGGTCCACATTTCCCAGCCTCGTTCAAACGTCAATTGTGACATGTGCAATTTTTCTTCTTGGCTCTTTTTTGAGAGGTAAAGCTTTTAACTCCGATTATTATTATTATTATTTTACACACAAGTAAAAAAAAAGGAAAAGAAGACAAAAAATTGATTAAAATTTAATCTTTCTGCGATGCCATTTGCTGTACATAAAATTTTGCAGAAAGAAATTTTTAAAATTAATTATGCTTTTCGAAAAAAAAAATCTGAATCAATCCGCTTTTTTTCATTTTTAAATTTATAAAAAAATGTATATTTTTAAAAAATCTAATTCTAAAAAGCGAAAATTTCTAAATTACATATATTCCTAAAAAAAAGAATACTTTTTTTGTTCAAAAATAAAATATAAAAGAACTATCTAATTAAATAAATAGTTCTTTTACAAGATAATAACAATTTTCATGCAAGTCAACAAAAGTATTTCGATTAATGCATTACGCGAGTTGACTTCCAAGAATCGCAATTGACAAAATAAAATGAGCTTTTTATGGACGGAACATTCGCCACTGAATTGTCTCGTGAAAAGACTTTATGGTCATTGTGAAATCTAGTAGCAAATATAAAAGTTGAAAGCAGCTATATCTTCAAATAAATCTTTAGTAATTAGGTTAGTGAAATTTGAAATTATGCCAATTTAATAATAAAAAAAATAATAATAATAAAATAAAAAAGTAAATAAAATTAACCATTACAAATTGATATACCTATAACGTTTATAATTAAATTATTTAGAAAATAGTAAATTTTTTCTATTTTTAAATTTCGCGCCATTATCGATAATTTTATTTTCGATGGTTGGCAGGCCTGTCAATTCACAAGATTCATAACCTAAAAACTCTGTTTGATTATATATTGATTAGTAATATACTCAGGAATTAAAAAATAATATTAAAATAAAATTTGTTCATTATACAGAATATAATTATTTCATTTTCGTATATTTTTTTAAAATTGATATTTATGAAATAGTGCAAAATTTTTATCAATTTTTTTAAAATTAGAAACAATTAAAAAAACCATATTTTAAATTAAAAAATAAACAAATATAACATAACAATTTTTTTTATTAGGACTACTAAAAAATTTCAAATTTTAATCATTGGATTTGATAAGTGAATGAAAATAAATAAAAAAAATAAATATAATAAAAAATATTTATTTAGTCTAATCTAAGTTCAAACGAAATTTACTTTTTAATGTTTAGATGTAATTAAAGTTTTCGAACAAAAATACACTATAAAAATAGATAAAACAAATTTATTAAAAATATAAACAATCTAATAATTTCCAAAAACAATATTTTTCTCAAAATCAAAACAAAATTGAAATGAAATAAATTTTTAAAACTTTTAAATCAATTTTAAAAAATGTGTCTATTCTTTAAAATTAACACTCACACAAGACAATGAATGAACACGTTTAAACAAATCGATTCCCGAATTGCAATTGATGAAGAGTTAAATAATTTTGTGTGAATTTTCCATTTACTAGTTATGACATAGCATTTGATGCGACCGCCTTTTGTTCATACTCTGAAGGTAAACACATCGCGCACTCGAAATGTATACAGATAATTTTAAAGGTCCCTTTGTTATTATTCAATTTCAATTACTTCAGGAATATATTTTTTTTATATTTTCAGCTGAATTCACTCCTTTTAATTGTTTATTAACATTTAATTTTTTTTGCAAAATAGTGTAATTTATAAAAAAAATTACAGAAATAATAATTTTCATATAAAAATATTTGATATATTTTATAAAGGTGAATGGATGCTGATTCTTATACATTTTGTGAAACATTTTGGATACACCGCACAAAATGTCAGCAACTCAAGTAACGCTTCGTCATTTCCAATCAATTGGCGTGAGCTTTCCATGGAGAGCTTTTATCTCAAGAACTTATTTTATTTCTGGGTGCCGGCTATGACAATCTCTTGCTCAATGTACTACGGTATAGGTGGATTTATTCACGTAAGATATATCTATATTATTTTTATATTTTTCCTTATGGATTTTACTCAAAATTTTTATTTTTCTAAATCATTTGTCATAAAATCAATTCTTTTAAATGACATTAACTTTCGGACAAAAAAATTTTTTTTTCTGATTTCTTCTTTAAGTGTAAATAAGTTAAAGAAGAAATCTAATAAAATTATAAATAGCCATTGTTATACAATGGATTAGAGATATTACAAACAATTGCACAATGACAGAATGTCACACAAATTCACTCAGCATAGAGGTGTATGCGCATATCACATCTGTTCAGGGGCCGATTACTGTCGCACAGACCATTTGACAACTATTGTCTCGTATCTGACGATGCTAATGCCATAAATTCCAGACTATCGGATTTCATGCTATATAGTGTATCCGACAAAAAATAATGGATACACACAGCTGTGTGACATGCTCGTTACAATCAAACACATGACACCTTCTCTTTTTTGCTAAAGGACTTTATGGCATTGTAATCTGATTACAAAATGCTTTCAATTGCACTATCCGGATCTGTAAATTTGTAAAACGCAACAGTGAAATCCGTTGTCATATCATAATATTCATCTGATTGGTATCATGTCATGAATATGTGTTATCGTAATCAGGCGTTCAAATAATTTTGATATCAGTCTTTTAATATTTTCAAGAGGTTGAAATTATTAGTAAATTATACGTTCAAATATAATTACATATTCTTAATTTCTTTGTTTTATTAAAATTTGTCGCGGAATTAAATTTAAGAATAAAAATACTAGATGTAAGGAACACAAGACTAATTATCGTTTAAATAAAAAATATCACCTAGTTGTTACAGATTATTAAAAAAATTTAATGGTAATATAAACCATAATTGATAAAAGAAATTCTACATAATGATACAAAAAAAAAGAAAATTTTCAGAAATGTTTTACAAAAAACCATACCGATTTCGAAGACGTATACTTTTCTGTCTCAAATTTTTATAAAAAAATATTTTTCTTCTCGTAAAGGGAGACAATCATTTTCAATTAGCACAGTATTCAACCGAATAACATTTTTTCAGTTAGCACAGTATTCAACAAGAATAACATTTTTTTAGTTAGCACAGTATTCAACCGAATAACTTTTTTTCATTTATTTTAAATTTACGTAAAATTTTATTATTAATTTGTAGTTTCGACTATTTCAGTGGTACTTCTACGTTCGTCAACGTGATAAACCTGATGAATGGAAGTGTCAGCCACAAAAATTTTTGTCACCTGAATTGGAAAGACATGAAATCATGCTAGGAAGCTTCAGCTTATTATGTACAAGTTCAGTCTCAGCAGTATTGGCTTGTTATATGTTTAACGGTGGACCCTGTTGGGTATATTATGCATTCGACGAATACACTTGGTTTTGGTGGTTTCTTCAATGGCCCATTGTTTTCCTCTATATGGTAAGTTCAGGATGATATTATTAAATTTTCTGGAAAAAATTAATAGAATTTAATTGCAATATGTTTTAAATTATTCATTTCTTAAATAAAAAAAATTACGAACCTTATGAAAAATTTGACACTTTTTAGTTTTCTGTTTTTTAGAATTAAGATTGATAACATTTTTTCTTTGATGTGATTCTGCAATTTTAGCTATATTTTATTTTCTTAACGACTTCTGGTACTTAAGCAAAAGCCTTTTTGGTTTTATGGTTAGTAAAAACCATTCTATGTAATAGTTAAGAATAATAAGACAATAATTTTAAGCTGCTGGAATAAGATTATTTTTAAATAGCGCTTATATTTTCTTTTTAGTACCAAACTATTTTTATTCTAATTCATAAAAGAAATCTCAGGTTGTACCTTTACTTTCACACTGATGTATATTTATTGGATAGTTATGATTACTGATAAGATTTGAAATTTACGATACCTGACATCAGCAAATGTTAAGCAGCGACACAAAATTCTTCAGTTGATTCACATATTTGACACTTAGGTGAAATCCATCTAGCTGATAAGCATTTAGAAAGCCACAATCAGTGAGCAAATCACATTCTCAAGTTTGATAAGATTTAGAAGATCTTCTAAGTTTTTGTTTTAATTTCAACGAAGCCTTTGTCTGTTTTCCTAGCCTAGTTTTTCCATTCAGTTCCTATTATGCAAAACGAATCTTTATGTTTTCACATAAGAGTTGATTTTAAGTTAACAGCAAACATTTTTCAAACAATTCTTTAGATTCAGTTAATTTAATTTTAATTATTTAGTTCCTGCTTAATTAATCATTAATCAGTGATAATTTTGATTAACAAATAAAAATTAGAGCAGTAACGAAGCATCTTCTATTGATTTTTATTTTGAAACTAGTGGATCATTAATTCAGTATTAGCTGACTACTTCCAAAGTTGGTTGGATTTAAATTTATTCCAATAAAATTAATTTACTCCACCCTATGAAATGTTCGATTACTATTTTCCGAGTTTTGTAAAATCGTCCATCCTTTGTCAATGTACATTGCATCTTATCAAAAATTCTTCTCGAAGAAAATATAAGAGGAACTCCTCTTTTTTTCGAAAAAAACATGTTATGTCTCCAATTTTGCCTCAGGGTTTACCATGAGTAAAAATAAAATATCTCGGTATAGCTAAAATCTAGCATGCATATATATTTACATTCCAGATAATACTTTGTTTCAAGATAAAAGAAAAATCTAGTTAATAGAGGATTTAGTTATACAATACGTATGTATAACTTCTAAGCAGAGATGAATTCGAAAATAGAGGGGGAAAAAAATTAATTTTTCAATTTTATTCCATTCCGTGCCAGAGAACAAAAACGAAAATTGTAGAGAAAATATTTTCATGTCGTGAACAGAGATGAAAGTCGCAAATGATTAGGTTTTGTGTTTTCCAAGACCATAGAAAAGAATGTAGATGGAAAATTCGTTTTGTTCCAAGTCCAGAAAGAAAAGTAGGAATATATTTACTTGTCTTGACATGTGACGAAAATAGGTTGGGAATTATGTTTTGTGATCAAGAGTTTCTAAAACTTGACAAAAGGTGAGATTGAATTTAATTTTAATTAATAAAATCAATTTTAAAATTTTGGAGGAATGGTAGGCTAATTACAGCCAAGTTGGTAAAGGCTTGATCATTTATTTTTATGTGAGATAACGTTGTTTCCTATCGATCCTGTGGAGGTTGTCTTTTAAAATATTTCACTCTTAAATAATTACTTTGCCACTTATAGTTGTTGAGTTTTAATGAATTTTTAGGTATATGAGAATTTCAATAAAGAATTTTATTGATATAAATTTTGTATAATTTATTAATATAAATTAATGAAATCAAAATTTTACAATAATGTTTGATGTTTAAAAGTGTTGTTACAAAGAACTGTGAATTTTAAAATGTTGTACTTACAATTACCTCTATTCAGAGGGCATAAACAATTATAAATTGACATTTTGGCACTTTTCCGTGACGCTGTAAGTTTTTACAACTTCTGAAAAGAAACGGTTGGGACTTCCTCACAGTTTTTAGTTCGTAAACTCCGAAATGCACACACGTCAGGTTTGCAAAATCGTTAAATTGAGAATACACTAATACGACGATTAACAATAAAATTTATTTACGACAAGCTCACAAATTTGGTGTTGATGATTACTTGCTCTGGTACTGAACAGCGAGTAAACATATACTGCTCGAGATGCAAGAGTTACAGTCGTAATAATTTTAAAGTAACCGAATGGCCAAACTCAAAATGGTTGATCATATGTTATGATACCAAATGTGAATTAGAACCGGAGTAAATGACGACTGACATTTGTATGGGTTTTTATACTAGAAAATCATCATCAGTGGGAGTAAATAAGATAAAAAATCACCCCATCTCTAATTCTAAGCTTGTCTCTTAGACTTTTTATAGAATTGAGACAATTCTCAGAACTTACATGCAACACCTGCATCTTGTATCGCACAGCTATTAATTAATTATTTTTGTATAAAAGAAATATTTTTTTTTAATTTTGTTACTTAGATTTAACAGTTATATATCACAAAAGAAATTAAATCCAGTAAATCAAATGACAGATGTTGATTATCTTTTGTGTAAAAGTTTATATAATGTTACAAGAGAAGTTTAAATTGACTGTAGAGGAATCGATTAACAATAGATAATGTTCGTTGCCGTCGTCGTCTTTGTGCACCGCGAGCGAACTTGACAAGCATTCGAGAGATGGGTGACGCTAGATTCTTGAAGAAAACAGTTTACGACGCAAGGTTTCCGTTTCTCCACGGATCGTTGATCAAGATTTGTTTGGTCGTTATATAAGGGTATACTTGAATCTTTCCCCAACGATTTGCGTCGACGATAAAGGCGTGAAGGGTGCAAGATAAATAGAGATGACGATAAATAAACCATCGACCCATAGGCATGGGTCACCAGTATTTCCTTAACTGTCCGATAGAATCCATTTTGCTGCATTGTTCGTTTCAAAGCTTTGTGTCGTCATCACACGATTTACAGTTGTTTTCGTTTTCCACCATTAAACCCACCAAAAAAAAAGTCAATCACTCTGATGTCGTCGCCGTTCAAAAAAAAAAAAAATTTGCATATCGTAGCAAAATAAGTCGAAAATATTTTTCTCTATACATTGAAATGGTATTTCAATAGTCAAAAATTTAAAATTATTTAAAGAATTAAATTAATAAGAGCTTTTAACTCATTAATTTTTTTTTCATTTACTTTTTGATAATAAAAATTAAAATCCATTATCAATTTGTAATTTTTCATCAACATCAGTTTCGAATCCGAGTATCTTAAAATAAAAACGAAATTTTATAGTGTGCGCGTGAATTCGAGTAAAAAAAAAAAAAATTGCGCTTCAAACGGTTGGAAATAAAAATTTTTCCTGAATAGGTTTACTTTTTGAAATTACATAGAATGTCATATCTTTTTAGAGAAAATATCTCTCTAGGTTTGTGAAAAGGTGTGAGAAAGCTCGCTACTTTACACGTGTCGCTCCGTTATGTGACCGAGTCTTTGCCTTTGAGCTTTCGACCTGGTCGCAGTCTCTATGGACGAAAGAGAGCACGACGAAAGAAACCGGAAGAATTTCCAAGACAAGTTTTGCAGTTGAAGATTTTCTATTTCTATTTTTTCCAAAATAAAATAAAAAAAAAAACCGCATCTCAGAGCTTTTTGCTATATATGTATATATACAGATGTAACTTGTACTTTCCCAAGTTTTTGAAGACTTATTCTCCCTATCGACGTTTCCGTACCACTGTTAACTTATTCCTTTCAATATATAAATTGATAAAAGATATTTTTCATTATGTATTAAGACAAAAAAATTCGGAATTTTATAATAAAGATAAAAAATAAATTATTGGTAGATTTGATTCTTAATAGATGCTGTTATTTAAATTTTGATAAAGAATACAGTGCAAGTTAATTAAATTCATTTTTTTAAACCCTAATATCGTTTCTGTGAAGCTTGTTGGTCGTTGGTCCTCGTATGCTGCTAAGACGGACGTTGACGTCGGTACTATTCCCATCTGAATCGCTCAAGTGAAGCAAGTCCATGCTCCACGTCTTCTGTTGAGATTTCCTTTTCGTACGTGAGTCGTTTGCAAAAGAAGTTACAGGAAATACCAGAACGTACTTTTACTGACACACGTTTCTCAACAACTTGACTCGGTTCAACGAGTACGTCAATAACATCTTATAAAACTAGATGATGTAATTGTTGTTTTTCCACACTCTTTTCTTTTTTTTTCGTTAATACATATATTTTTCAAATTAACTCTACTGCAAATGTCAATTAATCCTTTGCTCAATTTGATGATTGTTATGTTTTCTAAATTTTATCTGAGATGATTAGCTTTTCAAACTACATAGAATTATTTTTTGTTTTCTAATAATTTTCACCTTTGTGCGATTCTGTAACTTGACTTTACTTTCACTTCTGTTGCTCGTAGAAATTTTTTCAATAAAATTACGATTTTTTCGCGAAACTTTATATTTATTCCATGTCATTGAAAATTCATAATGAACAGCTTCCATGGCTTGTTCACTAAAAAAATTTAATCCTTTTTGATGTTTAGTACAAAACTGTTTTACATGAAAAAATACGGCATGTACTTTTAGTGGTAATTGAAATGTTTAAAGTTAGATAATTATCTTTAAACTTGTCAATATATTGAGTGAATTTTGTATCTAAATTTATTGTGAAACAGGATTTGACTACCATATTAAAACTTTCGAAAGCATCAACATATTTTAAACACCCTAAGCTACAGCTTGAACGCAAAATATGAATTTTATTTAATAATACTTTACAACTATTTCCCTTGAAAGAAGGACTTTCGTATGTTATCTCGCATTGTACACTGCAGTTTCCTGACCATTTATTAGCGTCTTTTTTAAATTCTTCTAACATATGTGAAAATAATGTG